GGGGAGCTCAAAATGGTGGGCCAAAACAAATCTAAAGTGTCATGACTGACGTGTCAGTGTCACAAAATCAAGCACGCCAAAATAAATCTAAAGTGTCACCATCGAAAAGATAGCTGTAGCAGCATCAAATGAGCATCAATGCTTGCTGACAGAAATTTAGGATCATTCAAAAGGGATGTTGGCGCACTTAATCAAGGACCATGACATCCACACACTCAATCAAGGACCATGACAATGTCACTAGAATTCATAATCATTTGTGTAGCTCTCCGCAATAACAAGCTAGACAAAGATGACCTGTCTCCAGAGGAGAGGCACAGAAGAGATAGGAGGACGCCAAGGATTGCAATCAGAAGATGGAATCAATCACCATTCCTCCACTTGTATAGTTCTAGCAATGAGCAAGCCCTTCTGAACTGCTGTGGTGTAGATCATGCTGTCTTCAGTGGTCTCATGGAACTCTTTGCACCAGTATTCAACATGTACATGATTGATGAGGCAACAGGAAAGATCTGTAAAAGAAGCTTCCACAAGAATGGAATGCCAAAGGGATGCTTTAGGGACGGAAATGCAACATGCTGCCTTGGGTTGACACTGCACTGGTTCTGCACGCATGGTTCAGTAGCAAGAGGCCTCTCCATGGCATTTGGTCTTACTTCAACAGTCATGTACAAGTGGATCAAGTTCTCCAGGTGTGTCCTCCTCTATGTCTTGCAAGACAATCCAGACACAAGGATCCAAGCTCTTGCCAGAGAGGATATCAATGCTTATATTGATGCTATTGGTGAGAAATGCCCTCTACTGGGAGAGCAAAGAGTGTGGGGTGCTGCAGATGGCCTCAAGCTTGGACTACAGACCTCAGGAAACTGGGCAGTACAGAATATRWTCTACAATGGATGGTTGTCTGATACCTGTGTCATCAGCCTCTTTGTCTTTGCCTCTGATGGCAAAATTAGAGCTACCACATTCAACTGTCCTGGATCTTGGCATGATAGCACCATGTCAGAGTATGGAGTCTACAGGAAGATGGAGGACATGTATGACTTGTATGGCTAAAGTGGTGGTTGATTCAGCATTCAAAATGCTCGGCAAGCCATATCTTGTAAGGAGCTCCCAACAGGATCCAGACCTCCAGGAGGCAGCAGACACAAGAGCTGCTAGAGCTGCTATATTGTTGAACTGACAAGCTACCTCAATGAGACAGCTTGATGAGTAGGGCATGAGGATGATCCAGGGACAGTTTCCAAGGCTGAAGGATAGGATCAGGCTTGAGGAGCAAGGGGACAGGAAAGTTCTCTTGAACACAGCTATCTTGCTGTATAATTATCAGGCCARCACTGTRGGCATCAATCAGTTTCTCAATGTGTTCATGTCCAAAGAAGACAGCAGAACAGGCTTCTTCTCTCATCCCATAATAATTGATGAGGACGCAAACAACTTGTTTTGGTGAGATAGCTACAACAACGATACATCAATACATCCCAACAACAATGATAGATGCAACACCAATACATATGAACATTGACAATACATATGAACAATGATAGGATACATCCAAGCAGTCAAGAAGAACAAACGGAACATTGATATGCAAGAACAAACGCAGCATGATTGATACACAACAACTATAAGCAAGAACAAACCCAGCATGATTGATATACAACAACAATAAGCAAGAACAACTGCAATTGATACACAACAACAACAACAACAACAACAACAACAACAACAACAACAACAACAACAACAACAACAACAACGCAGCCATAGGACAGGAGTGATGATTACCTTGGTTGACCTACCATTTTCAATCAATACACCAGCAGCACAAAAAGCAGGTTTAATCTACAGTTATTCATATCATCTTCTTACCAGCAGTGTGAGCTTGCATGCGGAGGAGGAGCAAAGAGCAGAGCTACGCGTTATACTGTGTTAAGTTGGACTTTCTACCCGGTACTTTGTGTTATTTGAATTTTCCAAAGTTTCACATGGTCAGTTGAAGCTGAAATGTCAGTTGAAGCATTGGAGTATTAGGGTATTAAATTTAAATGCATAAAAAATATTCATGATATGTAAATAAATGATCACAAAGATTCCCTAATAAGGAGGCRGGAATAGAATCAATAAGAAATATAGATTTTGAATATAATGAATATAAGCAATGCATGTTGGAGTATTCTTAGACATCGTAAGACTTCAAATTTCAAAATACACGGAAGACTGTATAGAAACTGTACTGAACAACACAAGCTAAYGTGTATGAGTGAAGTTATTCTATTCAACCACTTGCTTTCTTTGCCATAAAGCAGCATGGGGACCAAATGGAAAATGTGAATTAAAGTAGYGATTAATAAGATAAATTAAATGTAGTAAATAATAATAAACTCGACAATCAACAATGGGATTCATGCTCTAATCAGAATTGGAATCGTCGCTGCTGCTGCTGCRGCGGCACTTCTTCCTGCCAGCTTTTGGACTGAAGTGCTGCATGGCAATGGTGACAAGGGATCCAAGAGCACTTCCAATTGCCTCTAAGGCCTTTATGATATCACGCTTTGCAGTGACAGTGTTGTAAGAACGCACACTTGGGCCTCTGCACCATGGCGTTRATCCTGAGGAGGATACAGCTCTTGCAGTTGCTGTTGCATCAATAACTGGAACTGCAAAGGCCTCTTCCTGCTGAGTAAGTTCTGAATCTTCTGTTTCTTGAGAGGAAGCTTGTTGGAATAGTGGAGGGGGGAGGCACGTCCTCCTCATTGGTGTCCCCCGTGTTGTTGCTGTTGTTCCTGTTACAACTAACTTTGTCACTGTTGTTGCTGCTATTGCTGTTTCCAGCAGCAGGAGGAGCTCAATGATTACCCTCAGGATCACCATTCCGTCCATCAGGATCCACATATCCTTCTTCAATATCAAAGTGCTCCTCTCCATCTCCAATGGTGTCAGCCTTCTCTCCAATCAAGCACTTGGCCCTCTTTGCGAGTCTCACTGCCAAAGGACAGTTAGGATCTCCAGTAGGAATGCTCTTACTATGAAGGGATGCAAAATTCCTATGGATGGAGGGGATGTCCCTRTTGGTGTAAGCATAGTTCTGGGCATGAGTGGCTTCTGGTCACTTCCATGGCATCRATGTCCTTTTGTTGAGGATGCTAGCTAGTAGATAAGAATTCTGGCCAGTTACTTCAGATTTTGTATAGTGAACTGGTCTTGGTTCACCTGGCATTTTKGATTTGTTTTGGCGCTCTTGCTGGCACCATGTGTTCTCAATACTTACTAGTGTTTTGGGCACGCTCGCTGGCACCATGTGTTCTCAATATTTGGCAAGAATGCAGTTATTTTCTGTTAATTTTTAAGCAAAATTCCATATTCCTAAATTAAGCGCATGTAGCACACCATAATTCAATATCTATGATTCTATGTTTTTACATACTCATTCCTGTTGAGTCATAGATGCAAAGTATGTCAGCATAGATTCTATGTTTACAGGAATCACCCATTATTCCACGACTGAACTAGAACCAAAGGAAACACCAAAAACTAAGGACAGTATTGATGTACATGTACAAGAACCGTACGGTACGTACCGGTAYGTGCTTTTWAAAAAAAATCTTAATAATATTTAACCTTGTGAACTAGAAGAGGCACTATGGCCAGAACCATAGCTTTTGTGACAAAGAATGCTTCTACTAGCTGCTCYGAGGGGCGGCACTACCCTCCGAGGAGTTTTGGTGACCGGTACGGTGCGTGCTTTTAGAAAGACTATAAATTACACAACGGYCGGTATAGGCTTTTCAATTTCTGCATGTGTTATGTACCTACGACTTCATACTTTTTGCCGCACTTTTCTGGTTCTGTAYRGTACAAGTACCAGCAGGTAGTCGCTGAACAAAGTCTGGAACAAAATAWCCAAAAAATAGTAGTACGTAATTGTACCGTACAGTACTGTAATGCAATCGGGCATTGTAATACTACACGTAAAAGAACAATTGAACTTTCATTAATTGAGGCATTGGGAACGTTAATTCAACGTTCAAAATGATACCAGCATAGGCTGCCTAGAAATGAGTACTGTATTTTTTGCTTCAATTTAACGTCCTGAATGCTTTGCTTAACAGTCTGAATATTAGTAGCAGGGGAGGCGTCCTCTTCTTCCTCTTTTTAGATCCCTTCTTCCTTTTTAGGCACGTGCAAGATTGCTTTGCTACCAATTGAAGAATGTGGATAATACTAGTAGGATCTACGTAGGGATAAATCATGGAAGTCGAATAGAATATAAAGTACAAAAATCGTCGTTATTCGACTGAAATTGTCCTTCTTGAGCTAGGGAGTTTGAGGGGGAGAAAAATGTAAAAACATGGTATCAACAAATTTTTAATGTAAAGCATGTACTAAGTTGAACATGATTTTTTCTGTAAAAATATAAAGTTACGGAAATGAGATGTTGGTGGCACATTATGAGTTTCCTGATATGCTAGTATGAAAGATTGAACAAATGACAAATGTACAAGTACGGTACAGTACACCCAACTTTCGACTTCCCCTGGCTGCGCACCGCAAAAGACCTAATGTAACATTCCAAACGTTACTACTATGCGTTTCATAACAATTGAAATCGGCCTCGAAATAGAGCAAAAAGTAATAATTTCAAGTTCTTAACTTCAATGTGAAGTTATGAACTTTTGCTCGTACATCATGTACCAGGTTCTACTGAGCTAGTTTTTTACAATGACTGCTGAATGGCTGAATGGATTCCCGGGGCCCCTCAAAACAAAAAAATGGTTCAGGGYGATTAAAAATGGTTTGAGCTGATTCAATCATGAATCAATCATGAATGCCATCCAAAAACTAGCTCAGTAGAACCTCGTAGACTTTCTACCAGGACATTTGAAGTTCATAACTTCAAATGGAAGTTAAGAACTTGAAATTATTACTTTTTGCTCTCTTTCGAGGCCGATTTCAATTGTTATGAAACGCGTAGTAAATTAACATTCGGAATGTTAAGTCTCAATTACAGTAACGAAAGTTCAATTGCTATTTTACGCGTAGTACGRTACGTACGKTACGTACATAATGTATTCAGAACGGAATACGACCTAGTTTCGTTTTGGTGTTGCACCCCCACCGTTCAACTCCCACACTCTGTACTTAAAACATGGATTCCAAGACAACCAGAGACAACGAAGAGGGTCAGGATTCGGAAGACATACTTGAAAATACATCGGATTTTTCTCTAATTGATTCGTTCCAAGAAGTTCGGATGACAACTTCGAAAAAGGAGCTTTCACCAAAGTKTGTCGGGAAAAATTCCCGTGCGTCAAACGGAACAGAAACGATGACGATGACAGCCAAGGGGACGGAATCGTGCCAAGCGGAGGTGATTCCAGAACTTGAAAGCCCGGACCTTCAAGTGGGTGATCACGTCTACCAATGGAGAAGTCTATGTGGTGTCCCGTATATGTTTCAACACCACGGGATAGTCATGGACATCATCAAAGACGAGGATGGGAACCCGACTCGACTGACCATTGCAGATTTCTCCAACGTCGAGACGAAGCCATCACAGAAAAAAAGCAAAACCAAGGTGGACACGACAAAAACTGATGCAAAGCGATTTGACAATTCTGAAATTGTTATTGAACCTGAACCAGAGATAGGAATAATAGAACATTCATCTCAACAAAATGAAGCAGAGGAGGAAACTGCCAATACGAATGACGGACGCTCGACAAAAAGTTCGTCGCGAAGACTGAGCCTTGAACAAGAAGGAATCATGCGAACATACACCGATACAGACAAATGGCACAAGGTTCATTATCAGTCTGGTTGGTGGAAGCGCCAGCTGTGTCGATCCGGGACGGCAACGAAAGCAAAATCAGACCCTGTGGGCTTGGTGTTAGCGAGGGTGAATTTCATCATGCAATATCCCGAGCAGCTTCCCGACTACCATGTCGTTCATGCAAATTGCGAGTGTGTTGCTTTTTGGTGCAAAACAGGTAGATGGTCTACCCTCCAAGCCAGCTCGTTTTTGGAGTTGACGGCAGCAGGGTGAGTTTTTTCCTTCCTCCCGTGCGGCTATGTTGCTATGCAGTACACCGAAGGTCTCTGAACAGTTTGTTTATGTCACTTCGTTCGTCCTCATTTTCCACTCATGATCTTGTCTCTGTTCAATTATCTATATCATCGATACTCTCAACTTTGTTGTTCACAATTGGTGAAAAAAACATCATGTAGCCAAGCAAAATCATCTGCGACGTTGGCAGCAACAGCTGCAGGTGCAACATCGAATGTAACTGTTCCGGCGGCTGGAATCTGGGGGTCTTGGTTTGGATTTACGACATCTACCAGTGTCAGTTGGCTTAGTTTACATCCAATGGCAATTCCCGGACTGGCTTGCTACGCCGCTATCACGGTTGGAGTACCAGCCATTATGTATGCAAAGGCCAGCAAAAAGTGGAAGGAAACCTCCCAACGTTTGTGCGACGCATTTTGGGACTCTGCAGCGGAAAATCCAGATGTGTTTGCAGAATGTCTCACGCACTGGAGTGATAAAGAATGAGAAAAATCAGCACAAAATATCACCAATATACTGTGAAGTTACGAAAAAATTACAARTGAGCATGCTGTCCTGAAAACAACGCTCCTGMAACCTTTGCGATTAAAGGCAACGGGGAACGACATATATTTTTGTGGATTTTGGATAGATTATAGATCTTGAGATCCTCAAACCACTGTGACCTTCTTTGGCGGCACGTACTCATTGTACAGTGCTTGCTTTAAGTCTATTGCCTTAGTCTTTAAGTTGAAAAATGGATTAAGGAATCTCGATTTCTTCACTTCAGTAAGCAAGCCGTGTCAAGCCAGAATGTTGAATTGCTGCACCAATGTTTTGATTTCTAATGAGATCCTTGTCTTGCAACTCACTTCTAACTTCCTTGTGGATATCACACCAGCGTAGGTACATGGTGGCTATACAGTAGGTGAATTCAGGGAAAGAAACCGTCATTATTGCAGTGTACAGGGTGAAAGTAATTACTAACGTTTTGCTGGATAGGCCAAAATATGGAGCTTCCAAAACCAACCACGATCGATCGCATCGCTACTCCCCGAAAGAGCCCAATAAAACCCTCTTTCAAAACAATGTGCCTCCCAATCTTTAATATGGATGTGGATGTCGTTTTGTTGGCTTTAATTCTAGTATTGATAACATCCAGGGGGCATGTCAAAATTGCGCACCCAACTCCAGAAGCTGTGCCACAAAGTGCACTTCCTTGTGAACTTATGGGGTCGTGTTTCGACAAGCCATARCAAGATTTATAATAGGACGCAAACAATTCATAGAAACCAATCTTTACCGCAGCGAATGGTAGATCTCTGATTAAATTAACGTGCCATCCAGCAAAAAGACCCCTCCACCCGTGTTTAGCTGTAACACGTTTGATAGTAGAGGATAGATTAGGGTCGATTCCCAGTACAAGTCGTTTGTGTATGACGTCGCCAGGGACACCGATTATCGTTGCTGGTATGGCAGCACAAGTGGAAGCCATGGGTACAAGCCAAGCGTGCTSAGAGTGGTACAGTATCTYGCGAGCAGGTGCGTAAAGAAAAAAGAAGGTCCCAAATACTGGGGCACTCCCAAGTAGAATACTCGGAACAAAGCCACGAAAAAGCATTCGAAGGCCACTTCTGCCCACTGGTTTCGATTGAGCACGCACTTTTGCAGAATCAATTGCGTACAAGACAGAATCAGATACGAGTCCAGCAACGGCACCTCCGGCAGCTTCAGCGAGAGCTATTTCTACCAGAAAAACCATCAACAAATTAAGATGGGAAACAAATTTTCAAGAACTGGGTTCATACGGAGATTTGTTTCTAGAGCTGCAGTTGTGTTACGGAGAGATGTGTCTACATAGGGCTGCGATTGTGTTTCTGGTTTCTGCTCAATCGAATCGTCGTTGTAAACGAAAATGATCTCAAATCTATTACCACACATCGATTCGAAAACTCATCAAACGCGTAAAATAACAATTGAACTTTCTTTAAATCGTCAACGTACGGAATGCTAATTTAATGTTCGGAATCTTACAGTAGTACTGTATATCCCAGTTATCCTACGTTCTTCATTTGGTACCACGCTAGCATCATAAACCAATAATTTGGTCTTGTTTCCTAAAAAAGAGGAAGAGGACGCCTCCCCTGCTAACATTCAGACTGCTAAGCAGAGCGTTCAGGATGTTAAATTGAAGCAAAAACAACAGTACGAGTACCGTACTCATYAGAGCTAGAGTACGGGCCCCATAATGGCAAGTGATTGGCAATTCGTCCCATGCAAACACTAGTAGTAGAAAAATTTTGGCTCATTTTTACCCGTAAAACCTGGTATATTAGCTGTCAATTCAATAAAGACAGTAAAAAATTGTCAATCAACTTCTGAAAGGCTGAGGGCCGCGCCAGGATTTATTCAGCAACTGAACCCATTTCACCCATTCTTTTGCCTCATTTTTTTCAGATTTCGAATTTCATAATTTTAAAACTGAGCAGCTTCCTCCTCCATAGTAATCTGTAGTATCAGCATACTACTATGTATCAGTGTACTCCTCCATATCAGTGTACTCCTCCATATCATTGTACTCCTCTGTATCACCATACTCTGTATCAGCAGCTTCTCTGTGTCAGTGACTTCTCCATAGTATCAGCGTACTCCGTATCAGTGGCTTCTCCATAGTAGTATCACCAGTGTACTTCCTCTGTATCAGGGACTTGTATCAGTGAATCACCATGCTCTCTGCATCAGCAACTTGTACTATGAGTGAATCACCTTGTACTCTGTATCAGCATGCTCTGTATCAGTGTCTTGTAAATTGGTTGATTGTTGTTTATTTGGAAGAACCAATGTTAAACTTGTCTTGAACTAATACAAAATCATCCAGTCATTCCTCATTGATAGTAACAACACTGATTGGCTTGAAGAAATGGCAGTCCTTTGAATACCCACAAATGTTGCCCTTATRGTGACCCCACTTCCATGATGAAGAAGATCATCACGTCCATGAGAATATGCTCTCCTCCTGCCATCACTGGCTGGTCAGTAGACATATTGGCTTGACACTAGGTATCTGCAAAGAAAGCAAATCATCTGCACGCCGGTACCCTAGTAACTTGAATAACAAGGAGATCTTGGTCGCGCCTCCACAAAACCTCCTTGGAGGGAGGCGCCGACCCTCAGAGCAACTAGAAGCATTCTTTCTGAAAGCTATGGTTCTGGCCATCTTAGTGCCTCTTCTAGTTCACGAGGTTAAATATAATATTAAGATTTTTTTWAAAACTTGAATAAGGAGATCTGCACTTGAGTATAAACCTGCAAACAAGGCAAATAGCTTGAGTCTCTGCAAAAAACGCAGATCASTTGAGTGAAGATCACTTGATTCTCCGCAATACAAATAGCTCAAGCTGCAAACAATGCAAATAACTTGAATACGTAGATCCACACCACACACCGGTCCCTTGAGYATTTGCAAATGCAACGACTGTTTGCTTGAGTATCAAAGGCTCTGCATGCCGCTCCCTTGAGTATCAGTACGTTAACGGGCATTTCGCACACTGGTCCCTTGAGTATGAAGCCTCCACATGCCAGCTCCTTGAGTATCAGTATGTTAACAGGTGTTTTGCTCAAGTATYGAAGGCTCCACATGCTGGTTCCTTGAGTACAAAGCCTTCGCACACCGGTTCCTTGAGTATCAGTACATTAACAGGCGTTTTGCTTGAGTATCGAAGCCTCCCCATGCCAGTTCCTTGAGTATCAGTACGTTAACAGGYGTTTTGCTTGAGTAACAAAGCCTCTGCACWCAGGTTCCTTGAGTATGAATCCTCTGCACGCCAGTCCCTTGAGTATTGAAGCCTCTGCAGGCCAGCTCCTTGAGTATGAATGAACTCTTGCAGATGAGTATGAATGGGTTGTTTTGCTTGTGGATGAGGAATTTTGGTGTGTTTGCTTGTATTTTGGTGATTTTGGTGGATGCGAGAGGTGCAGCATTGGATGGAGGTATTTCAGTATTGCTTTGCTTTAGAGAAATATGTACGTAAATTACATAGGATTTGTACTATGGTACTGTAATGTACAGGGGGTACATGAGCATGRCAGGCAAGCCAGCCGGCCCTGGAGGTTTGGAATTGCCAATAACTTGCCATTTCGGGGCCCATACTTAGTAGCTCTAGTACTCATTTCTACAAGGTCTATGGGGTTATYGTACTGTATGTTAATTGTTATTTTACATGTAGTAGTACTGTATGTATTCCATACTTGCTCCCAAAATTCMTTTTTACCGTAGTATTTACCACTAAAACTATCCAACTTTGCATTCACCAAAAATACAGTCAAGTCAAGTTTTTAGTTTTGTCAAGTACCAAACAGATATTTGCTTTAGTATTGCTAGTAGTACTACTACTAAGTACTAGTAGAAATACAAGTAGTAGTAGTAGTAGTAGTAGTAGTAGTAGTAGTAGTAGTAGTAGTAGTAGTAGTAGTAGTAGTAGTAGTAGTAGTCCAGCAAGGAGTATTACTACTACTTCCCACTACTAGTACTACTAGTAATACTAGTACTAGTGATGGTACTATTAGTACTTAGTACTAGTAGTAACAGTACTACACAAATATTATTGGCAGTAGTAGTACTAGCAGTTGTACCACCACCAGTCTTTGTACTAGTACTAGTAGTAGTGTTGGATTAGTATGGGATTAGTAAGGTCACACCAGAGTGTTGCTATCTATTGATCAAATGATCATACTGTAGAGAACAAGGAAAAACCTGAAGTGTTCAATTGAGTGAAAATGGCAGTGAGAATGCTAACAAAAAGCCTAGAGTGATGAGATCTGAGGTTCCCACCAGCACTAATTTTGGAGCTCCTCTTGTCTGATATTTCTGAGTATCAAATGAATTTAGAGCAGACTCTGACATTTCTGAGCCCAAAATCACATTATAAGAAATACTAACAAGAAAAAACTGAAARGATGGGATCTGACTTCCTGTTCATAGTAGGAATTCACCCAGACACCTGAGTGGGTTTGGGTGGATGTTGTTGCTGTCCAACGCAAATATCAGAAACAACAATATCTTGACCAGAAGACATGATGACACTGGGGAATCTTCAAGTAATATGTAACATATACTCCAGTCAGTATTCTTCAATGAATATTGTATTGTGTACTTGGGGCTGGGGCTTGTTGTTGTTGCTGTCCAACATGAATGTCAGAAACAACAATATTGCAACTAGAAGACACTGCTTCCAGTCTGAAAAAAGAACTGGGAGTGGGTGCAGTATCAGTGAGGGTTAAATACTAACTTGGATTGTTCTTGTTGTTGTTGTTGTTGTTGGATCCAAATGTCAGAAACAACAACGTTGTGACCAGAAAATGATGCTACCAGTCTGTAAATGACTGGAACTGGCACAAAAGAACAGGGACATGGAGAGGCTGGGAAATCTTCTTTAAACTGAGTAATATGTAGCATGTACTCCAGTCAGTGTTCTTTGAGGAGGAATACAGGGTTGGATACTTGGGGCTGGGGATGTTGTAATTGCTGTCCAACACRAATGTCAGAAACAACAACATCTTGACCAGAAACTGCTTCCAGTCTGGAAAAAGCAAAATACTGGAACTGGTGCATGGAGCTTGGGAATCTTATCTAAACTGACTATGTAGCATATACTCCAGCCCTTRTTCTTCAAAGAAAGTCTAGAATGAATACTGGGGGCTTGGGTTGGTGTTGGTGCAGTCTGGCAAAAACGTTGGAAACAAGAACTTCAAGACTGATATGGTAATTCTGGAGGAACTGGTTAGTAGTAGTAGGATGRATCCAGCTAGGGCAAGCTACCTGCAGCTAGGGACAGGGTAGTAATTAAAAATATTAGTGTTGTGGATGTTGTTATAATGGAGACCAGGGAGGCAAATTCTCTCCTAAAGGGATTTCACCATGGTGATTTGGATGCTAGAAGGCGCTGTTCAGGTATGTATGTACGTAGGAATCAGTAGGAAAACTAGGTGATGATTTTCAGAACCAAAGTGTAAGTTTGTGYGTTTGAAAAAACGTTTTGAAAAKTATACCAGGGCCATAGTAAATCTAGGGAGATGTATAACACATTGAGTACATACAAAGTAGTACTCAGTTTCAGGACCCAATGTCACCCAGTCCCAGTTCCTGTACTATTTAAGGACCAGAAGAAAATTCTGACCATGGTYGTGTTGTTGCTTCTGACATGAGTGTTGGCTGACAACAACTCAAGCCCCAATCCAGATCWTTTAGATCCAAACAACAAAGGAAGCCCTAAGTTTCTCCATGATACCCCCTCTGACTCCAGCACCTTGGCAGCAGCTTTGTCTGCTGAATCTGCTGAAATTTCTATTATAATAAGCTCTTTCTGTGATGTTGCCCTCAACATTGGTGTCTGAGAGCAACCACCCAAGCCCCAATTATCAGCTCCAACCATTCCCTTCCAGAACAGTGCCTGGA